CAGCCAGCTGGCTGGGGAATTCTGGGAGTTGAAGTCCACACATCTTCAAGTGGTCAAGGTTGAGGAACACTGACCTAGGCTACAGAAGAGACAAGAAGGCCACTATCTCCCGTGTGTGCCATAGAAGAGCTTTCTCCTCCTCCTCTTCAATTCCTAATCCCTGCAGCCCTGTTGACCCCTGTTCACAGATGAAGGCCATGAACCTCTCGCTTGCATTTCCATGTCTTGCATTCCTTTTGTCCTGCAGGTCCTCAGAAGAATGGAAAGATGCCTTGAAGGGTCTCTATGAGTACATGTAAGTCTCAAGGGAGAGGGCATTGTGCTATGTTCTGGTCACAAAATAAAACCTTGAAGGCTGAAGGCCAAAAGGACCTGCAGCAGCCTGGCCCTCAGAAGAACAGCCCTGGTCAAAAGAAGGGATAGAAATGGTTTCATCCAGGTGAGACCATAAGACCTAGCAGCCTCCCTTTGGGTTGGCTGTAGCATTTCAGAATCTCAGGCATCCCCTGCAAGTTGATTCATTTAACTAGAGATGTCAGGGACTGAATCCTTTCTATTTCCTTTTGACTCATGTATTAATGACTACTATATGCTTTGATCCTATCTTCTGGGAGCTCAAAGCCTCATAGGAGGTGGGTTGAGATGACTGATAGTCACATAATTCTCAGAGCTACTAATTAGCCAGCCAGATTTAGCCTAGGGGGTTATTCAAACTCAGATCTCCTGGTTAATATATTGGGTGACTCCAGAAAACTGAGTTGAGTAAGTCATGTTTAAGCAAACCATAGTGTAGCCTGTAATGTAAAGACTGTGTCTTGCCGAAAATCATGCAGTGATCTCTATGGACCAACCAGGACCACAACAAGCTCTGTGTATTGAAGATCCTGCATTTGATTTCTGAATGAGGGAAATAGGCACATGATGAGAGCCAGCTTGGTGTCATAGTTAAGGTGCTGGACTACAAACCAAGAGACTATGAGTTCTAATCCTCCCATAGCATGAACCAGATGTGTGACTTTAGGCCAATTACCCTCTTAATCAAACCAGGGTGGTGGATGTGGGGAAAATAAGAGGCAGGAGCATTATGTATACTGTCTTGAATTATACAAATAAAGGCATTAATTAAATAAAAATAATTTTAATACTAAAATTTAATTTGAATACATTGGAATTATTTAATAATAAATTTAAAAATGATCTCATGCATCGGGCCAGGACTCGGTCATGTCTCGTTGACTCTTAGGGTTGGGCTCCTTTTCATTTTAAATGTGTTTAACCTATTTTAGAGCACGCATAACAGTTTTTGTACTTTTCCTGCCTCAAAATGGAATGCATTGTAAGAGCAATGTTCTACATTTCTCAGAAGTGGAAGGGAAGTAATGGATCACATTTATTTAAATAATCCAGGGATACACTACATTTGTGAGCCAGGTTTTTTTTCTTTGCATTCATGTGCGGTGTACAGATTAAGTTAGGACCACAAGTTAGTCATGGGGACCATCTCTTTGATTTTAATGGTGCTTCTCATGGGTGACCTAGTTTGAATACTACCCCATAGAAAGCAACCATAACACATTTAAAATGCAGCATGAAACAAATAACAGAGTAAGCTAATAATGAACTCTCAATTTCTACAGATGCAATTTGATTAAAATTGCTTTGGGTTGGTTATGAGCCCTATCTGGCAAAGCCAAAAAGGGAATAATGATTCTTATTAACTTGAAGAGGGATGTATTTTAGTTGTAAATGAGAAACAAGGAACTGATAACACACCTAACCATGCTAGGCGGAAGATCAGATTTTGCTGCAACAGTTCTGTGCAAACCTAGCCATTTTCCTATACTCAAGTAAGTTGGAAACGGGATACAGTAACATTTCCCACTCATTTGCCCTTTTCTTTTCTTTTCTTTTCTTTTCTTTTCTTTTCTTTCAGGAAGAATTTGAGCACGTAAGTTGGGAATTGTGTCTGCCAATGAGTGTTAGTTAAATGGAGAACTTGCTTTTATCCAAATTTATTTGGCAAATATCTGCAAAGCACATTGCTGCTAAAGATCCCTCTTTAGAAAATTGGAACAGTAGTAGTGGAGGATGGGCGGAGATGTTTCTCAGTTGGAACTGGACACAAGTTAATCTTTGGACAATTAACCCTTTGTCAACTGCCTGGACAGCTGATTAGCAAGTTCAGTTTGGCTAGATTAGAATCTTTAGTGCAGATAAGAACAAATCCTCAGGCACAGAAACAGTTGGATTCAGAGGCTTATATAATTGTCTTCCAAGGATCAAACCATTGTTTCTCAACCTTGGCAACTTTAAGATGTGTGGACACATCTTAAAATTGCACGGCTTGAAAAACACTGGCTTAAACTCTAGGTGTCTTTGTTTTAAATTAATGGATACTTGGATGTGTATAGAATGGAGAGAAAAGAAAGATACTGTTACCCTTGGAAGGGATCATACTGGATCAGGATGCTCTGGGAACAATCGCTCATCCCTTGGCACTCCAGAGATAGATTAATGCACTCTGCTTGGGGTGGTTTTGAAGACTATTTGGAACAATAAAAAATGCAGTGGTGTGCTTGCAAATAGCAGAGTGACACCTACTGCATGAGAGTTACAACTCAAGGTGCTGGTCATTACCTATGACACATTTTCAGTTTGGGGCCTTTGTCTCCCTGGAATGATTTGCTCTGAATAGAATCTTTCCATCCTGTCTATTTGAATCAGGAGGACATGATTCTGATTCAACTTCCCCTGATAGTTTCCAGGACGAGAAGCCTTTCCTTTGACTGTCCCCCTGGCTCTATGGAAGTCCTCTTCTCCCTGAGCTAGGAGGCCCCTCCCTTGCTGTCATTTTGGAAGCTGATGGAAACCTCTCTTTCTGTCAAGCCATGATGGTCAAGATTGGAGGTGATGATTATATTTGATGTTCATTATGCTTCTGCTGTATTCATTTGTTCTTATGATTTTACATTGGCTGATGTTTTCATTTGTTTTAATCACTCTGAGCTGCCCAGAATCTCTGACTGGGGTGGCATAGAAACTGGGTGAAATAAACAATTAACCTCTTGTGATAGCAACCTAAAATCTGATGGTTGTACCCACAGGGAGCCAGGCGAGTGGGCAATGGCTCTAAAACAAGTCCCTGCGTTTAGGTAAGTGCCCATTTCCTTGGAAGCCATTGGGAAGATGGAGAGGTTTGCTCTGCAGAAAGGCAGTTTTTACAGACAGGAAAAGGGGAAGAGAAGAACTAAGCACCCTGCCCGGGGAATTCTAGGTGCAGATCAAGTGCTGAATGAATATTGCCAGTCTGCAAGACTGGACGGAGACCCCTTGTGGCAACAGTGGAATGACTCTTACATGGCAGTCTCCATTTCTGCGTTATCATCCCACCACACATCCGGAAAACAGCTTACCCACCTAAGGCCCTCCTTCTAAGGCTAGGTAACTTGTGGTCCTCCAGAAGATGCTGAACTACAGCTCCCAGCAACCATTGCTACAAGACACTGGAAGCTGTTGTTAGAAGGTTGGGGCATGTAGACATTTTTATATATTAAGACATTTAGATGTTTAAAC